GTGTCCAAACTCAAGGTGACAAAGGAACTTTGCATTAATAAGGAAAATTTAGAGCTGTAGTCAAATTTGGAGGGAATAAACTATCCCTTTTCCATATACTGAAAGTCTTTGAATATGCCGGTACCTAAGTATTATAAAACCTCCTAATTTGGGAGAAAAACATAATGCTCTGTAGTTTTATTTGCATACTAATGACTACCAAAGTTTTTTTTTTTTCAGTTAAAATATTCAGTTTAAAACTTCAAAAGCAAATCTATTCTATTGATTCTGGTACCGCTGACTGATTTTAAGATGGTCAATGACAAACTGAAGGATTTCTGAGCTCAGTGGAAAGGACAACCAGAGACCTGAAAAACAGATTTATGAAGAGCCAGAGAAACTGCAGGTGGTGGCCTCAAGAACAGAAAGCTTGGGTAGAGAGTAGGCATGATAACTTCCTCATATGAGCATTAGACAGGGGCAGAACAGATAATCAACACATGGTTGTTCAATGAATGAATGAACTAAACAAAGTTGTAACAGAAAAGCACTCATGTGGAAGTGAGAGAACAGAGCCATTGACAGCAAAAACCACGACTTATTTCTTTGTATTCCTGGTGTTTGATACCATGCCTGGTACATAGTGCTCCTCAATTAATACCTAATTGAATTATGGCTCAATCACTGATCACCATATTGGACTTGGACTGTTCCAATCCAATCTTGGAACGGGTTGCCTTATAAATAATGAGCTCTCATTTCCTCTATACAGATTCTGCTATGAGCCAGGCTCTCAGCCAAGCAATGAAGCCAGAGGCTAAATAGCTATCAGCAGAGATATTGGGAAAAGACTCTAAGTCCCTCCTACTTCAAAGAGTCTTCCTAACACCAAATATTGAGTCCAATGTTATATTTTCAAGCCAAAGAGCCTGGTATAGTGGATTAAAACCCACAGTTTTTCAGTTTTTATTGTTTTTAATCAAAACCCCAAAGGGATTATCAGGACTTCAGGGCAGACACCCTAGAAGTGACAGGGTTTCCAGCAAGAGGGTTCCAGACTGAGAAGCACAGATGGTTAAGAAGCATAATTAACAGCTCATCCTCATCTCCAGCCAGTCTCTTCTTCAGGGTTCCAGCATTTCCAGAATACTCTCAAGTCAGTATGCTGTACCATCTTTGACTCCTTGCACAAATAAACTACACACCAAAACACTCCCACGAGCACAACACAGAGATGTGTGTGCATATCTTAAGAGTGCCACTTTTCCAATGCTACTTACAACTCATGAGAGGGTAACATTAAATTACCTTAGTAACTCCCAATCAACATCTATTTCTCATAAACAGAATGAAATGAAAAAGCTGGAATATATTAGAAAATATCAGAGTGCCTCACATGCATAAATATACATTGTTTCATGGATAGTTTGTTTTATAAATGTAGATATTGTTGCAGATATGTGTGAATTTCTTGTGGGCTAAAGTCCAGAAAATTTAAGAGCTTCTGTTATAAAAGATAAGAAAGACGACAATTGTAGTTAACACCAAGGGCCCTGGGTTAGACTTATTAAAATATGAATCCCAATTCCACCACTGATGTGCTCAATCATCTTGGAAAGCCTGCTTCCTTGTCTATAAAATGGAGGAACCATACAACACAGTGCCTGACATCAATGAACAACAGATGAGAACTTTAAAGAGTCTATGAGGCCAGGCACAGTGGTGCACACTGGTAATCCCAGTGGCACGGGAGGATGAGGCAGGAGGACCACGAGTTCAAAGCCAGCCTCAGCAAAAGCAAGGTGCTAAGCAACTCAGTGAGACCCTGTCTCTAAATAAAATACAAAATAGGGCTGTGGATGTGGCTCAGTGGTCTAGTGCCCCTGAGTTCAATCCCTAGTATCCCCAAAAAAATCTGTGAGGATTAACCATTTTTATGGGTTTCTGGGGTTCTTGGGGTAGAAGCAGTTGGTTGCTCAGGTGTCAGCATACATGCAGATTTATAAGGAGGAGTCCAGGATCTATTTAGAAAAGATTGTTCCCTACCTGCACAAGCATGGAGTTTGACTCTTAAATACCTGTGCTGGGATTTTGCAGTTACAGAAACATCAGAAACCAAAACTCCTTACTATTGGGCTAACAACCAGAATAGAGTGTGGGGAAGGGAAGGGGTTCTTCCTCAAACAGGGGTCAGGCATGGGGAAAATTTAATTTTCTGAAGTTATTGACCAGCAACTTGATGTTCATCCCAGCAACAGGAGCCAACACAAAAGCCCAGGACTGCTGCCATGGCTCAGGCAGAGGCTTCTGGAAGAAAGGACACAGGTTCTTTTCTGTCCCTACTGACCCCACGATTTCCAAGGAATACCCCCCCCAAGTCTCACATGCCTTCTCTAATGAGTAGCCTATCATTATTAAGAACCTCCATGATGTTGCCAAGGGAACAGAATGGCCTCCTGCCATCTCTGTCCATCTCCACGTGTAAAGGAAAGGTTAGGAAGGAGATCAAGCATGAAAATATGGAACATGGGGAAATAGAGGTAACATAGGGAACCAGAGAGAAAAACAGCAACACAGGCAAGAAACTGAGGAAAGCAGTTATAGGAAGAGAGACAAAGGAAAATGGTGTGTGTGTGTGGGGGGGTGGTGTTTAAAAAGCAAACCAAAAAATAAACAGAAGATAAAAGTAATGGAAGAAGCTATGAGGACAAGAGACCATCCCTAATTCCAAGCAGTGCCCTGGCATGGCAGATGACAGGACAATGCAGAGATAGGGACTTTCTCAATTCCCCCTGCCCTTTCCTTCCTCACATCTGGTCTTCAAACCTAGCTTCTATCAGGACACAGGCCCAGGGCCTTTGGAGAAATAAGCTCCAAACGCTGATATATCCCAAATGGATTTGGGACAAACACCTCCATCCTGCCTTCTACTGCCAGGAGCCACCTCAGGAATCCCCATTCCTGATCCTTTTCCCCCGCCTTATGGCTCCAGCTGTCAAGCAATTCACACTCATCATAGTCGCACACTGATCATTTTCAGAGATGCCCTTTCCTTGAGTTCTATATGATGCCCTTGTTCTGATACTTTGGGGCACATTCAGATATTTTTCTGAAGGCCTTTTGGGCTAATTATAATCCCTCACCCTAGAGAACTCATGAATGATTAAAAAACAGAGGGCTTTAACAATCACCTGGTCTGATATCCTGGGAATTATCCTTGTTATTTGTTATTTGCAAAGGAACCCCTGTCTCCTAGTGTTGCTACAGAGGATTTGCTCCCTCTCTGGCATAGCCCTGTCTCTTCCATCTTCCAAATCACAGGGAAGGGGCACAGCCAGTGCTTGGAGAAGATGAGCTAGCTAGCACAGCCTCAAGTCATTTGTGAGGGGCTCGGCCTAGCTCAAGGGTGCAGCCTGACCTCAAATCCCTTCCACCTCTCACCCCAAAGTAAGTTTAAAAAAAAAAAATGTCCTTTCAACAAAAATGAGCAGGCACCCAGCTTGTCACCAATTTCTTACAGGTGCTTCTGCAGCTAGAAGGCAGGAGTAGCTCTAGAGGGAGAAAGACAAGAGCAGAAGGAGGGACCTCACAGTGCAGTGATGAAATACCAGCCTTAGAAAACTGTTCATGGGTGAGGCCCATGTGCATCCCCAGATACATGCAATGGATCAAAAGGTCTTAATGGGCAGGAATTTAGTGTTGAAACCTCAGTGTTTGGGACCAAGTAAGGCAGCAGAATGAAAAGGGAAGGGAAGCCCACATGTGGCCAGGTGAAGCCAGAAAGACACAAAGTGCAGAGGGAAGGCCTCTGCTGTCCTCTGGCCTGCAATCTGGGCCCACAGTGACCCCTTGTTGGGCCACACCCACGGGTTGCCATGTTCAGTCACCAAAACGTGAGATTTCCCCTTAAATGGAGATTGGGCATGTGGGAATCAGTCTGGCCAGCCAACCTGGCTCAGGTGGTCATGAGGGTCAATCTAAGTCACTCTGGGCTTCTGAGTTATTTTTGAGGCAGAAATACAGAGCATCTTTGAGGACACCTGCTCTGTCTGTGGGAAGGAGGACAAAATGCTCAAAATACAATAAAAGCAAGGGTCAGGACCTAAAGGGGTCTCACTCCCTGTTTCTCTGGACTCCCTATGGGGTGCCTGTCTGCAGGATTTCTGCAGAAGATAGTCCATTTTGTTAAGCCTTTGAATATTCAAATTGAAAGTATCGCGCAATCATTGATTGTCAAATCATGGGTTTCTAGAGGTTTTAAATACTTGGCATGAGGGGGGAAAAACTCAAACCTATACCCGAAGGTATAAAACATTAATTCTGTGTGTCTCCTGCTCCAGGGACCTGGGTGCAGCCAGATGCTTTGTGAAACTTTAAAAATGTCGCATCTCTGCCTTTCTCCCTGCACAGGAGCCCTCCTAGGCGCAGAGTTCCTGCAGCTGCAGCATCCAGCCTGCGACCCAGTTCCTGCTGACCACGATGTCCGGTAATTCGGCTGCTTCTTTGGGGGTCGGATCATGCGGGCCAGGGGCATTTCGATCAGGGTGTATTTCCACAGCTTTTCCTGCATACAACAGAGAGGCACAAAGTCAGAGCACGCCAGTAAGGGCCGGGCAGGATCCGGAGAGGGCGCGGGCCAAGCTGTGTCCGCTCCCACTTGGTGCCTGCTCCCCAGAGCAGAGGCCCAGAGCTCAAGTTGGCCGCTCCGGACATTGGAGTACCCCAGGACCCCCGCCCTCCCTCCCACTTTTCCACCGTCTTGACTTGGGACTTCGCGGCGCGGACCTTGCGCGCCCAGAAACGGCGGCGCGGGGGAGCTAGAGGTTCACCGTGAGCCGGTGACGCGAGCAGAGCGCATCGGTAGCACAAAACTGGGCTGTGGCGGTCTCTGTGTCGACCCCAAGACGCGTCTACTGCCCGTGGAGCCCCGAACCGAGCGAGGAAGTGGGAGCGAGAGGAAAGGAAACTGAATACGGAGAGGGCGCGGCGCCTGGGCTCTGCGGGCCAAGAGCAAGATTCCCTGGGTCTAGGAGAAGAAGAACGCGACCCCTTTCCTGGGGGGACCCTATCTCTGGTCTAGGGTGAGGGGTTCCCTGCTATCCGGCTGCGGTCCCTGCAGTGACCAGGCGAGGCGCTGGCGGTCTAGCACTGTCACCAGATGCCCAGGCTAAACGCACTGCCGCCCCCAGCCGCCGCGCTCGGCCCCACCCCGCGCGATTCCCAGACGCTCACTCCAGGGTCGAGGTCAGGGCAGGAGTCCTACAGGGCTCCTCGGCCGATCCCACCTCTAAAGCTCGCCCGGCCCGGCTTGGCCTTACAGCCTGCCCGGCCTACTCACTGCAGCTCTGCAGGGCCGTGGCCTTCTCTACACGGCGCTGGGGTCCCTCCGGCAGACCTCTGCGGCGCGCACCTGGCCATTTCGACTCGCCGGGGCAATCCGCCTGGTCCAGCCAGCTCAGGGGTGGCTCCTCCCGAAAGGCTTCCTCCTAACGATTGCGCGGTCCTCGGAAGCCTCCGGACGGCTTTTCCCAGAGCTCGCGCTGTGCGGACTCTTCCCCAGGCTCCGTGCGCCGCTGGGAAATGCCTGCACCAGACAGGGAGGGGGTGGGGAGAGAGGGGAAGAAGGGGAGAGTTAGAGCAGGGCCTAAGGAGGGAGGAGGAAAATGTGGAGAGCGAGAAAGGCGGAGAAAAAGGGCGAAAGAGAGATGGCAGAAGAAAGAGAGGAGGGAGGGAGTGGACCGGGATCCTTTACTAGGTTCTCTCTCTGGTCCCACCGGCCCAGGTTAGGGCTGACCAAACCAAACTTTGTCCCAGGGCTGGCTTCCAGGCTAAGGGCAGGTAGAGGTCGTAGCCTCCCCAGAAGTCAGGCCTGGACTGGGGGAGATGGAAGAGACTTAACACTAGTGGGAACATTCACGGTGAAGTGGGCTTCAGCTGCTATAAATCAGATCCATAATACCTTCTCCCAGCAGGATGGACCCAGAACCCCAGGGTCTCCCACCTTAGCCAAGGTGGTGGGCAACCCTGAATTGGCCTCCATATTCCTGAGCAGAGTCACCTGTGTGCTATTGTTCTAGGGATGGGCCCAGCCTGGGGTGAATGACTCCACAAATTTCCATGTGTTCTGTTCCCACTGGGGCCCTAGAAATTGCTCAGCCTCTCTTCATCCTTTGAAATTTCTGGCTACCTTAAACTATCTTTTAGCATTCTCATTGTGTTGTCCAAACCCAGAAACTTGGCCTTGGTGGACACAGCCTCTAAAGGGGGTCCTCATTATGCAGCCTGGTACCAGACCTTGGACTTGACCACTAACTCAGTTGCCTTTTCCCAGAAAAACCGAAGGTGTATCAAGGTGTCCGGGTGAAGATCACAGTGAAGGAGCTGTTGCAGCAAAGGAGGGCACACCAGGCAGCCTCAGGGGGAACCGTAAGCATGAACCCCTCATTCCCTCCCCAGCCCATAATAGACCTCATTCAGCCCTATACTAGGAAGGTGTGGAGGCCACCCCCAGACCCTGCCTTCCTCAGATGTTCCTATAACATCTATGCCCAACTTCATCCCAGTTCACCCCAGGAAGCCACAAAGAACAGGTGGGACATGTTGTGGGGATCAGGATTTGGGGGAGTTCATCTGTCACTGGTCAAAGTTGGGTATAAAAGTCTTGTTGGTTCTCTTCAGGAAAAGAGTCAGCCAGGTAAGTAGATTGTTGCTGTTTTAGGAAGACAGTGTAAGTCCAGCCCTCACATACCCATGGAAAATCTCTCCTAAAATTTACCTCATATAGGGGAGCCCTTCCAGGTTAACCTATCTGTGAACCATCTTTCCCACCCTCCTTATTCTTCTGGAACTCAGCTTCTGAGGTCATTTGTCTGTAAATCACTAGTCATTGAAGTTCCCAACACAAGAGAGCCATATCTCTGGAGTATACATAGAACTGCTTCCTTAAGATGTATGGAGATCCAGGTTATTACAGAATTGGTCTGGGCAATCATAAGGTACCCTGACATACTGTATTCCTTTCTAAAGCACAAAGGATTGCTTAGGGAAGGGGCAGAACCCAACAAAAATGAGCGGAAGTCATCTCCCAGGAGAGGAGCTCTTACTGAAAGCCTCCATAGACAGTACATTGCTTGTGGGTTGGTTTGGGTGTGGAGGATCAGGCAGCTGGGGCTGGTATTGCCTCTATTAGGATTGGTCCTTATCCAACCTGTAGGCATATGCCCTATAACGGTTTTTGTGCCTGGTGCTGTTTATGTTCAATGTCCAACTTCACGAAATGGGCTTTTGGCAATGAATCTCCTGAAATGGGAGGAGGCAAAGTATGTAGGAGTAGTGAGACAGGTTTCAGAACCAGACGGCCTGAGTTCAGATCTCAGCTCCTCCATGGTCTGTATCCTCCAGCAAATTACTCCATCTTTCTTGCCTGTTTCCCTTTATCTTTTAAATTGAGGATAACAGGATTTTGTAAGGATTCAATGAGCTATTGCATATAAAGTGCTTGGAAGAGTGGTTTCCATACAGTGAGTGCCAATAAATATTATCTGGGGAAAGAAACTTAAATAAAATTACAACCAGGGATTGAAAGTCAGCTATTCAATAATCTTAATCTAACCCTCTGTTCAGAGTTTAGAGGTCAGGTGTGAGTTTGCTGTGAACTTCTAATACAGCTAGAGAAGTTAATATCTCTGCCTGCAGGATTTTGGGTCACTAAAAATTCATTACATTTATACAAGGCTTCACAGTGGTTCTTCATTAAAAGTACTTTTGCACACTCATTGTTTCATTTAGTTTATATAATAACCAGAGGGGATAAGTAGATCAGAAATCTGCATTCCTCTATTATAGCTAAAGTTCACAGTCTTTCAGTTGCTATTGGTTGAGCAAAAGGTAGGACCAAGGTTGTTTTATATTTAGTATTATATTTAGTATTAAAAAACCTTCCCACCTATTGACTCTCTAAGTTCTCTTTCAGAAAATCCATCCATACTAAGCAGGAGTTTGGTAACCTTGATCCTTTCAGTTCAGAGATGGTTATATATAATTAATAAAATTAGGTCTGAAACACCCTCCCCCTCCCCACTGTCCCAGTCAAGATGTTCAGTACAAAACAATATCTTTCACTAATGAGCTTTGATACTTCTAGAATTCTGCCTCAACTGCACCTGCAGAAATCCCATTTGGGCAAAGCAACTTTATTGCTATAGGGTCCTTACAGACTGGTTTAACCACTGTTCCCTTGTTAGCAAGCTACAGAAGGTAAAGCAAGTGTAAAGCATTTCATTTGTGTATCCAATCAGTATCCCTGGAGCAGTTAAAACTTACTTTTTCTGAATCCCCACCCCCAACATAAAAATACACACACACACACACACACACACACACACTCCTGGGGAGAAATAAAGCAGGACTCCTGACCCAGCACCTTGCAGGAAAAATACTACTTTGCTTCCTGGAAGATTTTGTCAGCCTATTCCCTCACAAGCACGTATAAGTAACACATAATTTCAGAAGGTGAGCCAGATATAAAATCCCTCACTGGGAGCCATCAGAAGGATCTGAGATTCTAGGAATGCTGCAAAAGTATATTCAGTAGGCAAGGATGGCAAATACCCAAGGGTAATTTATGCCTGCTCTTTGGTGTAGGTAGGCCTTTCTAGCTTAACGGAGATTATCTTCAATTGTTCAATTGTTAAAGGACACCTCTGGGAAACTTTAAGCCAAAGAGAGAATTAATAGTATCAAATATTACAAAACAGGAAGAAATTTATCTTAATTTGTTGTAAAGTCAGAGTAGTTTCCACAGTTAAAAATTTAAGCATGAAAACATGAAGTTATAGTTTGAGAGAAATATCCAGATCTCAAGCAGTGCCAGAGAAACTATGTGCATGTGCATGCCAGACTGATAATTTAACTTAAAAACACTGTCAACCAGATTAATTTGCAAATACTCTCTCTCATTCTCTCTCTCTCTCTCTCTCTCTCTCCCTCCCTCCCTCCCTCCCTCTCCCTCTCCCTCTCCCTCTCTTCTCCCTCGCTCTCTCTCATACACAGACACATTTCTTTTATCTTCAGGGTAAAGAGAGAGTAATATATAAAAAAATATATATAAAATATATAATTTACCTTTTTTTTAATCATTAGTTTGTTTTTTAACAGCCTTGATGTGTTTTTATAAAGTAGAGATTGTAGGTTTTGTGCTGTTTGAAACCTAAGAGAAAGGTGCTTTTCTTTTTATTGTTGGGGCAAAGTAGAAAGTGAACCCATGACTAGAAAGATAATATCAAGTAGGATATTGTAAACATACCTCGGGGAGATAACAACAGGATAACAGGGAGCAGGCAAACAGGCCAATCCAGGGGAGAAATGGGGTTAAAGAGAGCTCTACAATGAAACAGATTTTTTAAAACCCACTCCTTCCAAGTCCTCCAGCTCAAGCTGTAGCCAAATATTTGCATAAAGAGCTGGTAAAGGATTCCAGCTTCCTGGTTCATGACATTACAGCATGGATCATTTTCAGAATGAACACCACCTCCTGTTTCAGCAGTGGCTGACTGTGCAGTTCTCCCAGTAGCTCAGTGTACGGAAGTGAGTATGCCCTGGAACCCAAGAGAGGTGTGGTGAGATCAACTTCCCAGACCAGAATCCCACAGCAATGCTGTCCCTTTAAAATTTAAAGCTGCCGCCTGAAATCTTTAAAAAAAAGTCCTAAATTACTCCATTAGTATAATTATCCATTCAACAGGAAAATGCAGGCTGCTTTGCTGTAAATAGTTTAAAGGCACAGTTTCATAAACATTAAATTTAAAATACAGTAATGAAAAGAGCAACATTTATTTTAAAATGGTAAAAAACATATAAGAGTTGAAATATTTCCTGACCTTAGACTAGAATATCGATTCTACTTCAACTGTTGTAATCAGCTTCAACTCCTGATTACACCTTTAAGAAAATATTTTCTATTTTAATAGTTCATAGATAGTAAGACTGTGAATATTTTTTAACAAAGGCTTAACAAAGTTAGGAATTATGTTCTTTCAGAAAAATGTATTCCTAAGACTAAGAAATCAGATATTATGTGAAAATTAAGGAAAACAACTTTAAGTTCTAGTTGAATTATATAAATGTGACTCCTCACTAATTGGAAACTAAATAGTTTAATAGGAAGGCACTTTGTTGAGTTTTCTCAAAGTGTTACATTTCTGTAACATAAAAATTATTTTTTTATCAAAATTAACACTTAAAAATTAAGTATATCAAAATTTAATATTAACTTTCTAATATCATGAAAAATACCCAAGCAAACAAAAAACATAAAAGTTGAATCTAAAAAAAATATATAGCATTGGTTGTATTTAAGGGAGACAACCTTTTTTAGAAGAAAGAATCTGGCTTACCTTACAGCAGCAGGAAACAGTTCCCGTCCGAGTCTTAGCTTTCCCTGTATGATATGCTTCTCTTTGCTTCATGGTCATATTCTTGCTTTGGCAGTTGTCCGGAGGCACCAGTATCCACCTTTCAGATCCAGTCGCACCATCTTCTGCAGGTCAGTACAGCCCGCATTACAGTTCCCTTAAAAACTTTTTCAAAAGTCCATCTCAAAGGTCTTCCAGTGCTTGATTCAGGGGTTAAGATAGGCACCACCATTTAATTGGAATCCAACCAATCAGAAGGTGAAAAAGGCATAGTGACTCCAGATGCAAGCCCAGCAAGGAAACTAGTGCAGGTTTTTGCCCTCATTTCTGAACTGTCTCTTCTCTCCTGCCTGTTCTGTCCCAAGACCATGTTCTTCACATTTATCCCAGTTTTTCATCTGCAAGTAACCCAACTTGATTACAAGATGAATTTTTTTTAGAATATGTTATATATTTTTTAATGCACTAGTAGTTGGAATATAGAACATCCTGAGACACTAAAATATGTTTTTGTTCTTGTTCATTTAGCTTCTAGCCGACAGGGGCTTCCCTCCCCTTCTTTTCTCTCTTCCCAGAAAGCAGTTCAAACAAGTGTAAGTTTTCCCAGCCCAATATGAATAAATCTATTACATAAACAGTCCTTCCTATGCCACTGCAGGTAAGAGTTTAAGAAGGTCATATATAAGAAAACCTGTGCTGATGGTGGTTCCCACTGAATGTGTCACTTTAACTTAAAGGAACTTGAGATTTAAAAAAAGAAGAAGAAGAGAGAAAGAAAGAAAGAAAAATTCAATATCCTTGAGCCCCTTTGGTGGGCATACTCCAAACCTCTCTTTCTTGAGCACTTAAGGATAATTATCACATGTCAGTCCTATTAATACTAAAATGGAAAAGGAGTGATGTTTCCGAATTGTTTTTGTTTTGTATTTAACATGGTTTTCAGTGTACTCTCCTGTTAACATGTCCACTAAGAAAATGCTTTGCTTTTTGTAATTTTAAATAAGTAGCACTGTTTTCCATAAAGAAGTTTCTGGTTTCCATTTTTATCCTTTGCATTGTCATTCATGTCACTTCTCAAAACCCTCTCCTCAAAATTTAAATTTTACTAAGTGTGAAAAGTTTGTGAAGACAATAACCCTGAATCAAGAGAATTATTTCCCACAGCATCAGAAGTTTTCTTAAAGCCTTGAACATACCTCTGATTTACTTCTAAGAGGGTTACCTGAATTACAGATAGGGACAGGCTGTCGATGCTTTTGTAGTCCGTGTCGGCAGAGGCTTGAACCATTATTCCACTTTGACACTTGGACACAGGTCAGGCCACCATGCCTCATTTTTACCCTAGCCACACTGAAATCAGTTGTCACAATGTTAACCAGATTCATTTCACTAATACTTGAATTAACTAAGATAACTAAAAAGTTACTGCCTACCTGTTTACTTTTCTGGAATTTCTTAAGTGCCTTTCCTAGAACAGTAACTCTTTAAAATTTTGAAGAAAACTCCATTCAAATCCATTTTGCAATTTTGCAAAAAAAAAAATTCTCCTTCTCTTCTAGGATTGTATTTTGAGCCTGAATCAATGTCTTCCACACCAAATTATTTTCAACCCCGAGAATTTAACACTTGTGTTTCTTGTGAAGAAAATCCAAGCTGCCTGGACCAGATCTTTGATTCCTATCTTCAGACTGACACACTGTCAGAGCCGTTGCCCAACTGCCCGCAAAGTCCTCCACACTATTTCCCAGACAGCTTCCCGGCCACCCCTTTCTGCTTTAACCAGAGCCTGGTAATTTATCTTTATTTTTTATACAACCTGATTGTTGCTAACTCTGGGGTAGTGATGCTTTGTAAGAGTGTGCGTCATCTCCTGAGAAATTATACAAAGTCTATCAACAAGGAAACCATCCAGAAACAAGGAATCATTTAAAATTCAATGTATAAAGATAGTCACAGTTGCAGAGCATACGCCTTTGGATACACAATTATGATTTTCCAAGTAAGTTGATATGTGGCAATAAAAAGGTTTCCTGGTAATACTTAATGTTTTTTAAATTGTGAAGTTAAAACATCTACGAATTTGGAAATCGGTAGTTTAAACAATGGCCCTTGGATTTTTGAGATCTTGAAAACAGGATTAAGGCTGCTTGTACATACTATGAAATTTCATTCAGATAAAGGGGTTTTGTTGTTTTGTTACTGAGTTGACTCCAATAACTGGTTATTTGGATCTGCTGTAGGCATAGGAACTCATTTGGGTCTGAGATGGTTAGTAAAAATGAAGCCTAATCTTTTAATTAATTTGAATTTTGTGTTCTAGATAGATCTCAAGTGTTTGAAAATGTGTCATCTTTTTAAATGAAGTAAGGTTTCTATTAATAGATATTAGTTATTTTAGAAACTCATAATTTTTAAAACTTTAAAGTGTTTCTTTTTCTTTTTGAAGAAATTTGAATACTTTTTTATTTTGATTTTTTTCAGACGTCTATATGGGCATCAGACTAAATTTTGGAAGGAATTGAAATTAACACTACAGAATATGCATATTATTATGGGGAAAATACTGGGCCCCAAACACCTATTGCCCTTCTAAGAAAGCCTTCAAGTTTCTCGGTGACTTGCATAAAGAGAAGGAAGTGTGTACCTTTTTCCTCAGGGAACAAGACTTGTGTGATGGGAAGTAGCCTAGAGGCTGGGTCCTGTTGGATCCAAGTTTTCCCTGGGCAGGTTCCGTGTTCACCTGGTTCTTCTCCATCAAGGGTGTGGAGAAATATCCAAGGTGCCACCTGCCCCTTATATTGTGACAAACAGCAGGATTCGATGTACAGGTGATCCGAAGCACAATAGGATTTTGTGGTTTAAGAACAAAACATCCTCTAATATATGGTAATAACAAAGGAAGCCAGTAAAGCAAGGCAATTTATTGTTGGGAAAGAAATAGGTAAATACAGAATGTGGTATCATGAAAATATGTAGTCAGCAAATAAAATTACTTCTGCAGACTTGGGTTGGGTGTTTGGGGTTTTTACCCCTAATTTTCTTACTCTGTGTGAATAAATCCACGGTGCTTGCTTCTTTTGATCCTGTTTAAGTTACTGAGCTCTTTGCTCCTTGGTTTTCACTCTCTAGACCCCAGGATCACCTTCAGATTCCTCCACTCTCTCTGGCTCCTTAGACTACAGTTACTTACCGGCTCAGCTGCCTTCATACCCTCCGGATAATTACAGTTCTCCCCCTTCTCTGGACACCCTAAACCATGGCCATTCTCAGGAAGACTACTCCTACCATCATTTGCCCTCACATGCCCAGTACAACTGCTTCCCTGCAGCCACAGCCTCCGTCTGCTACTGCGCATCCTGTGAGGCGGAGCACTTGGAGGCAGTCAGAACAGCTGAGTACTTCTACCCCAGCACCGACTGCATGGACTTCGCACCCTCGGCCGCCACTGCCAGTGATTTCTATAAGAGGGAAACAAACTGTGACATCTGCTATAGTTAATAGAAACGACACTAATTTGGAACATGGCGTGGGTATAGCTACTTTTCTACCACATCTAGATAACACTTTGCATTATGCAACCTGTTAACAAAATATCACAGACACAGTTTACATGTCACTGTTTTCAATTTTCTGATGCTAATATAGGTATTAAGATGAAGTCCTCAAACCTGGTCATAGTACCACACCTGCTGTACAAAAAATGTCAACTCACAGTTGACATTTTTGTAGGGAATGTTCCATTGTTTTATTTTTCTGTATAACGAACAAATTCTCTCTTTTTTACTAATAAATAATTTTGAATTATTATTATATGCTGGGTTATTTTTTAAATTACCAACAATAATTTGACTTGATTTTTATCCAGTAGGCTAGGAAATTGATCACTAAACTTGAGTGGTCTCATCTTATTGATGATTTTAAAATTATTTTAGTGTGCTGAGATGCATGAGATGGAGGTTAGACACACTGTGAAGGTAATAAAGAGAAAATCTGCCCTGCCTCTAAATGGGGCTATTCATCAAAGAGCAGCATCAGAAAAAGTCATGGACTCATGTTTGCATATTGATTTATAGGACTGACTGTGTTATTCAAAACTGACTTTCAGAATTTACTTCCTCCAGTTAATCTGTTTGAAGAAACCCACTGTCTTTCAAGGTCCAGAATTACTTCAGCTACCTGTGATAGACTGTACTATTAAATCTTGTTCACTGAGGACAATCAAAGAACAGGATTAATACCTGAAGTGAAGTCTTGAGGGGCATTTTCCATGTCCCAAGTTTCAGCATCATGGCAGTAATAACTGATACCAGTAACACCATAGCCACCATTTTTTAGCCCTTCCTGTGTGCCAGAATTGTCTGAGTTTTCTGGCACGTTATCTCATTTAGACTTCATAATAGCATTGATAACAAAATGAGGAGTTTGAGGCTCAGAAAGTTTAAGTCACCTGCCCAGAGTTACCCAGCCAGTAAGCACCCAAGCTTGGGTCTGAAGGAATGCAAAGCCTGCTCCTTCCTCTCCAGTGGTTGAGCTACTCCTTGCAAAAGACTGTTCAGGAGCCTATAGGATCATTAAACCCCAGCTTTGTCATACAACCTTGTTCCTATCACAACTAAGTCAGTCTTCCCCAGAAGAGCTAGTCTGTCCCCAGGATATCAAGATGACAAACACAAAGCTGCCAGAGTCCTGTGATGTGGGGCAGGAGAGAAGCTGACCCACTGCCATAGTCACTCAGTGGGCTTCTTCCTATCCTGAGTCAGAGATGCTTTCCAAATGATGCCACCTGATTGTCCTTTCCCTGGAGACTTAACTGAGACTTAGGCAAACAGGACGAGTCCCAGCCTGCCTCATGGAATAGCTATGCCAGGAAAATAGAACAATCGCTGCCTTCCTGACATGCCAATAAAACTAGATTCTTAATGGCTTGAAACTGGCCTGTTGTCAACAAATACCTATTGACACAGACCAAGGCCCCTTAGTACACCCTACCCCACTCCAGCAGTTATCTCCAAGGACAAAGAACAGAGAAACCAAGGATGTTTAGTGTTTGGTACCAATATAGCCCTTTCCTGGATGCCCTTCTCCTCCTCCTCCTTCTCCTTTTTCTTTTTCTTCTTCCCTGGCTTCAATCCTCTGCCTTCTGAATTAATTATCTTGCAGCTCTAACAGAGATCATTTCCCAGCCCCCTTATTTCTCATTCTTTCTTCCCACACTTCAAGGACCCATTAACACAATCCTCATAGCTCACAAATACTAAATTCTTTCAATAGGCCAGTGCTGGGGTATTATCTCATGTAATCCTCAACCCATCACATAAGATACATATTATCATTGTTCTCATTTCTATAGATGAAACTGAAGTTTGGAGAGATGAAATAAGTTGCCCAAGGTCACATCACATACAAATCAGTGTAAGAGTTCTCTAACTCAAGTTACCTGATGTTACAGTCTGAACTTCCAAAGGCCTCAATACACTTCCCATGCACTATACTTGGAAGAATAAACTTTTTGGAATGTGCTCTTTTGCCTTAAATTTCACATGTATATCTGTAGCCAGTTCCTCATGCCATAGACGCATCTAATAAAATTACAACTGGAAGTTTAAATGAATGAATAAGAATCATTAGACTAATAAAACAAAATGTTAAGTGCTTACCATATGTAAAACTGATCACATGCCTTCAAAATACAAATCACAGTTTTAAAAAGGAGTTGATTTTATTTTATTTTTTTTTTAATTTTTTATTGTTGGTTGTTCAAAACATTACAAATTTCTTGACATATCATATTCCACACTTTGATTCAAGTGGGTTATGAACTCCCACCTTCACCCCATACACAGATTGCAGAATCACATCAGTTACACATCCATTGATTTACATATTGCCATACTAGTGTCTGTTGTGCTCCGCTGCCTTTCCCATCCTCCACCCTCCCCCCTCCCCACCTCTCCCCTCCCCTCCCCTCCTGTCTCTCTACCCCCTCCACTGTATAACCCTGAGGGTCTCCTTCCATTTCCATGCAATTTCCCTTCTCTCTCCCTTTCCCTCCCACTTCTCATCCCTGTTAAATGTTAATCTTCTTCTCCTGCTCTTCGTCCCTACTCTGATCTTAGTTACTCTCCTTATATCAAAGAAGACATTTGGCATTTGTGTTTTAGGGATTGGCTAGCTTCACTTAGCATAATCTGCTCTAATGCCATCCATTTCCCTGCAAATTCTATGATTTTGTCATTTTTTAATGCAGATTAATACTCCATTGTGTATAAATGCCACATTTTTTTTTATCCATTCGTCTATTGAAGGGCATCTAGGTTGGTTCCACAGTCTTGCTATTGTGAATTGTGCTGCTATGAACATCGATGTAGCAGTGTCCCTGTAGCATGCTCTTTTTAGGTCTTTAGGGAATAGACCAAGAAGGGGAATAGCTGGGTCAAATGGTGGCTCCATTCCCAGCTTTCCAAGAAATCTCCATACTGCTTTCCAAATTGGCTGCACCAATCTGCAGTCCCACCAGCAATGTACAAGTGTACCCTTTTCCCCACATCCTCGCCAGCACTTGTTGTTGTTTGACTTCCTAATGGCTGCCAATCTTACTGGAGTGAGATGGTATCTTAGGGTGGTTTTGATTTGCATTTCTCTGACAGCTAGAGATGGTGAGCATTTTTTCATGCACTTGTTGATTCACTGTATGTCCTCCTCTGAGAAGTGTCTGTTCAGGTCCTTGGCCCATTTGTTGATTGGGTTGTTTGTTCTCTTATTGTCTAATTTTTTGAGTTCTTTGTATACTCTGGATATTAGGGCTCTATCTGAAGTGTGAGGAGTAAAGATTTGTTCCCAGGGTGTAGGCTCCCTATTTACCTCTCTTATTGTTTCTTTTGCTGAGAAAAAACTTTTTAGTTTGAGTAAGTCCCATTTGTTGATTCTAGTTATTAACTTTTGTGCTATGGGTGTCCTATTGAGGAATTTGGAGCCCGACCCCACCGAATGTAGATCGTAGCCAACTTTTTCTTCTATCAGACGGCGTGTCTCTGATTTGATATCAAGCTCCTTGATCCATTTTGAATTCACTTTTGTGCATGGCGAGAGAAAGGGATTCAGTTTCATTTTGTTGCATATGGATTTCCAGTTTTCCCAGCACCATTTGTTGAAGATGCTATCCTTCCTCCATTGCATGCTTTTAGCCCCTTTATCAAATATAAGATAGTTGTAGTTTTGTGGATTGGTTTCTGTGTCCTCTATTCTGTACCATTGGTCCATCCGCCTGTTTTGGTACCAGTACCATGCTGTTTTTGTTACTATTGCTCTGTAGTATAGTTTGAAGTCTGGTATCGCTATACCGCCTGATTCACACTTCCTGCTTAGCATTGTTTTTGCTATTCTGGGTCTTTTATTTTTCCATATGAATTTCATGATTGCTTTCTCTATTTCTACTAGAAATGCCGTTGGGATTTTGATTGGCATTGCATTAAACCTATAGAGAACTTTTGGTAATATCGCCATTTTGATGATGTTAGTTCTGCCTATCCATGAACAGGGTATATTTTTCCATCTTCTAAGATCTTCTTCTATTTCTCTCTTTAGGGTTCTGTAGTTTTCATTGTATAAGTCTTTCACCTCTTTTGTTAGGTTGATTCCCAAGTATTTTATTTTTTTTGAAGATATTGTGAATGGAGTGGTTGTCCTCATTTCCATTTCAGAGGATTTGTCGCTGATATACAGGAATGCCTTTGATTTATGCGTGTTGATTTTATATCCTGCCACTTTGCTGAATTAATTTATTAGCTCTAATAGTTTCTTTGTAGAGCCTTTTGGGCCTGCTAGGTATAGAATCATATCATCTGCAAATAGTGATAATTTAAGTTCTTCTTTTCCTATTTTTATGCCTTTAATTTCTTTCGTCTGTCTAATTGCTCTGGCCAGTGTTTCGAGAACTATGTTGAACAGAAGTGGAGAGAGAGGGCATCCCTGTCTTGTTCCAGATTTTAGAGGGAATGCCTTCAATTTTTCTCCATTCAGAATGATGCTAGCCTGAGGCTTAGCATAGATTGCTTTTACAATATTGAGGTATGTTCCTGTTATCCCTAGTTTTTCGAGAGTTTTGAACATAAAGGGATGCTGTACTTTGTCGAATGCTTTTTCCGCATCTATCGAGATGATCATATGGTTCTTATTTTTAAGTCTATTGATGTGGTGAATAACATTTATTGATTTCCTTATATTGAACCAGCCTTGCATCCCAGGGATGAATCCTACTTGATCATGGTGCACAATTTTTTTGATATGTTTTTGTATCCGAGTCACCAGAATTTTATTGAGGATTTTTGCATCTAGGTTCATTAGAGATATTGGTCTGCAGTTTTCTTTCTTTGAAGTGTCTTTGTCTGGTTTAGGTATCAGGGTGATGTTGGCCTCATAGAATGAATTTGGAAGTTCTCCCTCTTTTTCTATTTCCTGAAGTAGCTTGAAAAGTATTGGTATTAGTTCTTCTTTAAAGGTTTTGTAAAATTCTTCTGTATACCCATCCGGTCCTGGGCTTTTCTTAGTTGGTAGTCTTTTGATGGTTTCTTCTATTTCCTCAATTGATATTGGTCTGTTTAGGTTGTCTATATCCTCCTGACTCAATCTGGG